ACTTGAGGTCTGTTTAAAATCGAACTTCAGGGCCCACCTGCTAGTTCATCCTGCTTCAACTGGGCCTGGTTATGGTTCGGACTGGAGTGTGGAAAGGAGCGAATTTTCGTTTTATACTTATTTTTATATTCATTAGAAAAGCACTACCTGATTGGTCAGTGAATGCCATAGACAGAATTCACCAACCAATCAGGTAGCTTCTCTCATGAATATGAGTTTTCGTAAACCACCCAGTACAACAAAAATGTACTGGACAAGCACCTTGTCTTTGTGGTACCTACATTATCTACACCTGCCTGAAAGTGGCCTCTTTTGACACATCTGCCTGCCATTTTATACTGATGTTTGTATTTATAAATGCATTGTGACAACACATTTTAGCATGGGTCCAAGCATCTTAGGAAAAGAAACTGTTTTGTACCGGATTTTCCAGACATCTTTTATTCATCTTTTTTTCTCTTAATGCTCTGCCTCTTTATGGCCAATATGTATTCACAGAAACTCCCTGATGGCGCAGTGCAATTTATTAAGAGGGGGAATAACACAGGTAACTGTGTATTTATATGATAAATAGTTCTGCTTCATTTTTATTTATTCGTCTTATTTATTTATTGTTCTGTAGGGTCTGCACCAAAGATATTTTTCATTTGTGGATTGATATTGCTTTTGCTAAATTCTAGGTAGCAAAACTATAAGACCTATGAATCAAAGAATCAAACGAATCAAGCTCTTAGACAATTATAATTACTGTCTCTGGAGGAAGTTTTATTAGTACTGCAACTAGTCATCACAACTGAAGTAATCTGAACTTTGAAGGAGTGGTCTGGATGAAAGACAGGAGGGGCTTAACTGTACCCCAAACTGAATAAAGTGATTTAATGATCAGGAACAATTATTTTGCAGAGCATCTGGGAACCATTTGACAGATAAATTCCACTCAATTGAAATGTGTGTACTCAGTGCTGCCCTCTAGTGCAGTAGTAAAGGATAGGACTCAAAACCTAAAGCAGAGTCCCTCAGGCTCCCAGTGACAGTGCTCAGGACCTTCTGTAGGCAGGCTTGTATCTGGCCACAGCTGATGAGGCCCGGTTTGCTCACCCTTTACATACTGTTTCCATGTGATATCACCCCTAGTCTCAAAAAACAAACCCGTCTCTGTTTATGGTGTGAGGGGGGCTTTGGCTGATGGTCTGTAAGGCTCTGTTATGGCACTATGAAAATCAGAGTGTGTCTGTGAGTGTGTGTGTGCCAGTTCTGCACTGGTTCTGCAAGGCCAACCCCCCCCCCACACCTTTGTGTAGGATAATTCCTGTCTCAGAAGGCGCCTCCAGGCAGTGGGGGGGGGGGGATCCTGACTCCCTCCATCTTTTTTAAAAAAAAAGTACGACATAGTAGTAGAGCAATGTGTTTGAAGGGGAAGGTTAATGTATTATTATTAACTATTTAGAATGTCAAAATGTAACTGCAAATGAAGATGACACTGCGTGCACAGAATCATTAGTGGGTGTGTCACTATAGAGACTCTCAAATGGCATTTTTTACTGCCATTTGATTAATTTGATATATAGATTTTTTTAGAGGGAGGGGTGAGGACGTTCTCTCCTCTGGCCCGTGCCATCTTGCTGTTCACATTGAACCACCTTCTGTGTTTCTCTTGGCCTGGGAACGCACACCCAGAACCTGATGTCCGGCTGCCCCTGGAACACACACCCGGACCCCGATGTCCGGCTCCCCCGGGAACACACACCCAGAACCTGATGTCCGGCTCCCCCGGAACACACACCCAGAACCTGATGTCCGGCTGCCCCTGGAACACACACCCAGAACCCGATGTCCGGCTCCCCCGAGGTGCAGCGCTCCCCAGAGGCATCACCAGCTCTGCTTGCTCATGTGCTTCTCTTGTGCTGACGCCAAGCTTCTGTGAAACCCGTCTCCACTCTTATGCCGGAATGAAGCTGGGTTTTAGTCAGACTTGTACGATGTGCTCCAGGCAGGACAGGAAAAATCTTTTTGTGGAGAAATGGGTATATAGTAGTATGGTACGTTAAAAGAGGAATGCGGAGCGTAACCGGAGAGGGTTAGAGAGCTTTTTGACTTCTTGAGGCTTTCAGCCATTCAAGGTTGGCCCTTTTAACTCAGTGTAACATTGTTTTCCACAAATGGTGCAGCCAGCTGAAGCCCATTGTCTCCTGCCATTATTGCAGGGCGCTGTTGCATTACACTGTGTGGGGGGAGGGGCCGGGGAGTCCACTGCAGTACTGGGGGACAGATAGATGGAGTCCTGTCTGCCATTCAGGCACATTGGCCTACCTCAGGTTACGAGGTCCTCCAATCCCCCCACAAACAGCAGATTCATAGTGTTTGTGATACTAGCATCAGATCTATTAAGTGAAATGAAGAAAAATACCCCCGGGGGGGAACGATGTTGACTTTAGATAATGTGGGCAAAAGTACTAACTCTAATTAACTAAATCTAATTCACTGTATATGCGTAGGCAGTAATGTGATGATTCACTAGAAAAGGCCCTGGCTGGTTATTTTCGGAGAAAACAAATTTGTAATGAATGAAGGCAGAAGCAGCTAAATAATGACACTATGCTTTAAAAAACAAAAGCATAAAAAGCACTTGCATTTTGGCTGCTATGTTACAGTGAGTCTCAGTGTGCTTTATACAAGCAGTCTGACATACAGACAATACCTACTAACTAATGGATGGCCATAAAGACTATTATATAATAAAATGCAGGTTAAATACAATTCTTCCTTATAACAAGTGCATGCACTGCTTTGTGATGCTTGTGAAATTATTGTACGGCTTCGATCGTTTGTCAGTTTGAGGTACAGTGCAGTACTGTATATAGTTGCTTTTATTATTACTATATAATTGTTATTATTATAATGTACTGTATTATTATTTACCTGCAAATTCAGCTTAAAAACTAATATCGTCACTAATATCTTATTCCACTTCCTTCAACGTACACTGATATATTTCACTTTGAATTCCACAGAAACACGTAAAAAATGTATATGGAGATAGTGATCAGTTAGCTGTCTGATAGAGTGAAAGGTTATTGGCCGGCAGTCTCCCACTGGGAAGCACAGGTACAGGATGGTAAGGGTTAAACAAAGCACTGTACGTCATACTCTGACATTTCTCTCATCCGCCCAGCTCGCCTATTTAATCCCCAGTAATGATGACAGGCTAATCAAGGTCAGCCGGTTTTCATTAGCTGAGATGCCCATTGGCCACGGAAGGGCGATCGATTGGCTGCTCGTTGCCATTGTTCTGCTTCCCACCAGCTGCAAACCTCTACTGCTTAACATACAAATGGTCTACGAATGATCCAGAAAAAGCCTGAGGCATAAACAGTCTAGAATCTCCTGAGTCACAGCACAGGTGGGGCAGACCATCAGGAGATTTTTCTTTGGGGGGGGGGGGAACAGGAGCATATGTTTGACCTCTATCGAGTAGCTTAGCGAGTAGGACTCAGGGCTGAAGCTGCATTCTGCACGGCAGTCTGTACTCTTCCCAGGACCCAGGCAGCCGGGAAACTCATCCCAGGGCATCACAGCAGACACTCAGCAAACCTCTCAGGCCATCGGTTAAGGAATGTAATGCAGAGGCATAATCCTATGGAAGACCAGGAGATACGATACAAAGCCAATGCATGGAAATACTTGGTAACCTTCTTTTAAAAATTAAATGTTTGCACGTTCTCCCCGTCTTGTCATGGGGTTTCCCCCTATAGTTCAAAAACATGCTGAGGCTATTTGGAGTCGCCAAATTGCCCATAGCTGTGCATGTGTGAGTGAATGGTGTGTGAGTGAATGGTGTGTGAGTGCCCTACAATGGGTTGGTACCCCATCTTGTTCCCTGTCTTGCATCCATTGGCCTGGACCCCCTGCGACCCTTTATAGGACAAGCGGTTTCAGAAAATTGATGAAAATGCCCTTTATTTAGATACTACAGATTGGACTCCAGGTACCATGATGATTCCACAAGGAATTTCTTAAATCACATGGGGCTGTCGTTACATTTAAATTCTGGATTGTAACAGAAGGAGCTCTATGCTCTATGTGCACTGCACAGATGATAGAATTTGCCTACATTTTCTCTGCGGAAAGCTACGCTTCTTCGTAGCATTGGGGCCCCGACGGCTGATATCCAGATGGAGCCAATCAGCACACAACTAGTGCCCAGAAAAAGCAAAGGGACTGGACAGAGGCTGGGGGGGGGGGGGGGGGGGGGGGGGGGGGGGGGGGGGGGGGGGGGGGGGGGGGGGAAGGGGGGGGGGGGGGGGGGGGGGGGGGGGGGGGGGGGGGGGGGGGGGCTGTTACAGTAGACTTGAGTGAAGGTCTGATGGATAATTCCAAAATTGGTGGGTAAGTGAAGGGTGATGTTTATTCTGAGAGATGGCGTTTCCATTCCGTCTTTCAGATCCCAGCTGTCGCTATGCGTAGCCACCGAAATCTCACAGAGTATGCATTCTTTGGGAAAGACCCAAAACACTCATGTGTACGGGGTCTTTTCCCACAGAGCAGTAAGTCAGATAAGAATTACTCCACAGGGAACTCAGCTTATCTGTGGTGGATTGAATAGAGTGTTTTCCATCACTTTGTACCCTGAACTAGCGGATATTATCTCCTGTCACGTCCTGGTCTGCAGGATCTCCAGTACAGCTGTGGCCGATGTGAAATCCTAGGGCACTGAGGGCAGCCCTCACCCCCTTGAGCTTGGGGCTGGCTGCATTGTCATTTCTGCTGAGCTCCTGATTGGTCAATCTTTCTGGATATGTTGATTGGACCTGGGTCAAGATTCTAACTGAATTTCACCAAACGTGTTTTTTTTCCACAATGGTGCTGAACCTAAAAAAGGTTGCTATGTTACATATATCTTACAATATACAATATATATAACATATATGTTACACAAGCATCTTTGTTTGTTTGTGTGTGAAGATAAATATCCTTTATTACATCATAATTCTTCTCCTTAATAAAACAAAATGCTTTAATATTGATAATCATATAGAGGATTTTCAAGCAGTGCATTCAATAATGATTTTTGATTTAATTTATTAGGGCCTTAATGAAAATCAGCTTCAGATGCATGTTTGCTGATGACTCAGATCAGGTGCAGATACTGTAGTGAAAGGAGTGAAAGGGCGTCCATCAGAGCTGCAGACCCACGACCTGCCTGCTTACGTCGGCAGAAGCAGTGTGCCCATCAGCCTTTCAGTCTTGAGGCCTTCATCTCTCCTGTGGCTCTTTCCCCAAAATGCTTCAAATAATTGTGTTTGCTATGCAGCTGGACAGGAAACACAGTTTCTGGAACCAGTGCCTATAGAAAGAATTTCCAAATCACAGAAGTTTTACAGTGAAAAGGCAGTAGCATCATCTATGGTGTGCTAAACAAATAAAAGCATCATAAAAGTAGTACAAAGGGGACAAATTTCTGTTAACATTACAAAAAACTCCTTTTTCCCTATGGGGCTAGTATCCACTGATAGTTGGATCAAATGTTGCTTCGTTAAACAGTTTCCACATGTGAAGTTCTTCAGTCCTGATTATATCGTTTTTTTCAAGCTGTGGCGTCTCAGTGCAATCCCACGGACAGCGGGGTCTTCGCATTCCTGGCCCTAGTGCCCCCACCCCAGCCGTAACCTATTGAGACAGAGACCGGCGAAATTTGGGGAGGGATTAGACTAAGGAGCTTAAAGATCTTTTCAAGACCCACGTGTGCGGAGTGTCTTTCAACAGAATAATGGGACCTGTGATCTGTCGGCCAGCAGAGGAGTCTGGGAAAGGATCGGGGGAGACGGGGAAGCGTAGCCAGGTACCGCACCTCGGTACTTCAAGGATACCTTCCCTTTATTTTATGCTGCCACATCAACAGAACAGATTTAACAGTAAATACTGACAGCAGCTGTTTTCCTGTCTATTTGCTGTAGGACCCCAAGTCTCCCGTATCACAGCTGATTATAGGGACTCCTAGATGAATAAGGGCGGCACCACAGTTGCAGGGATGCAAGGAAGACCATATGGTTTGAAAAGTTAACAAACGCCGTGTTCCTTCACATATACCCAGGGTTCGATTTGCACAGTGGCTTTCGGGGGGAGCCCTGTTTTCCAGTGTGCACCACGACTTCCCAAGTGACATGCACTCGCATACATATTAGCGATCAGTAACATGGTTATTTTTTACGATTACTACTGTAAGCAATTAATGTCGACCGTAAACATTTCATACGGGCACAATAGCAACAACATAAGAATCATGCAAGAAGTTTAATTTGAACCACGCACCTACTGCTATACAGACACTTGTTTGATGTTGAGGTGTGTAACTTCTAAGACAAGGATGACACCTCGGAAATGACCAGAAAGTGCACAATCTTTCAGTGAGTTCAGAGTATGAGGTCTTCTGGGGGTAGACTGGTTTGTTACTGCCTTCGTTGGCTAATCCAGAGGTTGCAAAGGGAGACCAGAGGAATGTACTGGCAGCCTTTGCTGTTTTGTTTTAAAAAAGAAAAGCTCTCCATTAGTGACCTGTTCCTTGTCTCTTTCTCCAGAACATCTGCGTTGTTTGTTGCCTGTCCTCCACTTCTGTTCTGGCAGAGATGAAAAGGCAGCTGTAACTGCCAAACTCATTTCGAGATTCCAGGCACCTGGGACATGTAGGCTACAAAAATATATAATAAGCTAAAAATGACTGAGTTAAAGCAAATATACGGATAAAACATAATGCTAAATAAATGACCTGCCGTCGATAGCTTTTATTTATTTAGCAAAGTAGATGTGAAGGTGAGGGTGGGTCTGCCAGTGTCCTGGGGCATAAGGACCTTGTTCATGGGCCCAGTCGCAGGATTTTAACTGGTGACCTTCTACTCACAGAACCACATGCCACTCCACGCTACACTTGCTATACTTGTCACTCCACGATGTAGGTATTGTGGCTGGACTGCAGAACTTAAATTGGACCTTGAATCACCTGCATGCAGGATCAGTTAGGCTGCGGCCAATGAGAGGACAATGGGCTGAGGCTGAGATCCCAGCTGAGGAGAAGCTGGGGTGAGAAATGTCCTTTGGCTCAATCGCATTATTTGCATGAATGGATGTTTCACAAACCCAGGGTTTGCCTACATATGAAACATGCTCACTTCACTGTACATTCAGCTTCATCTTGCAGATTGATGCGTCACACTGTCACCCTAGGAGGGTTTTAGTGGCCGTTCTGTCTAAAGAGACAAAAGACTGAGAGAGCAGAGTCAGCCAGTTCTTGGAGCAATCGGAAGCGTCCAACAATGAAATCAGTCTGCCAACCCAGGGATTTGAACTGGCAACCTACCATCAAGAGTCCTAATCGAAATGGCCACAGCATTGGGTCCCAAACAAAGTCTCTAAGGGTGCATCTGAATTTAGTGAAGGGGCGTTATCCCCAAAACCATGCTGCAGTTATGGGTTGACTTAATTACCTCCTCCTGAGATGCATGTTATCATGTCCATGGTGCTACAAACCACCTTAAACAGGACTGACTGGACCAGCTTCAGACGTGAACCTCAGACCGTCCACACACCCGTACTTCAAAGTGCCTGATCCACACGGCTCTTTGACAAAGTTTATCTGGGCTGTGGAACTGGGCTCTTCAGCATTTTTTCAGCATTGTAATTTCATGAAACATCGAGGACCTCTGATCAGGACTAGCCGTTAGAAAATGGACAGATGGATGAACATTGCCGCTTGACTTCCAGCATATACAGCTGCCCAGTTCTTTTCCTGACATCACACTACTTGACGACAACCTGTATCAATAAGCGACCTGCCTCTACTCCGACATCTGTGCCCTCCACATCTCATTGAATGGTGCGGGGACTCAGTGTGCTTGGCTGTCATTTCCCGTCATGCGATCATTTGAATGATAGTAATACTGTAATAGACCCCCGCATTGTAGGGGGTCCCCTGCTGATCACGACACATAGATTAAATGTCCAATCGATAAGTTTTACTGCCGGCACCCAATCGTTTGTAGTTCTGTCTCATTTCTCTATTGGAGAATGTTCCCCTTTCCACGTTAAACAATTTTGTGATTTTCCAGCCTCTTTGGAACTCTATTAATGCTGATAGCTTACATATGTAACCATTAATGAAGGGCTGCTTGTACACACATGATGAAACAATTAAACAACTGAACAGATGCAACAGAAATATGCCAATACTGACACAGCTGAACTAATTGATTACATCACCCAATACACAGATAACACTGAACAGTTACTCTGATACAAAATAAATCCAAACCAATTACTCCAAAACAATTCTCTTCTGATTAAATTATTCTCTCTTGTTTTTCTGGGCAGTGGTGGCCTAATGGATCAGGATGCACACAGATTGCTGGTTCAACTCCCTGAGTAGTAAGGTACCGCCCCCAAGCACTGCCCCCCGGGTGGTGAATTAGCTGCCCCCTGCTATGTCACAATGTCACATATGGGTTAAATGCAGAGGACACATTTCATTGTCGTGTGCTGTGGTGTGTCAACAATGATCACTGATCACCAAATTCTAAATCCACCAATTCCACAGTAATTGACCAATAGTTTGGTCAATTTTTCATATGTTGTTGGAATCTTCAAAGTTTGAACCTAAGTTTTTTTTTTTTTTTGTCAAAATAGAGACTGTTCTTATTTTTTTCCTCTAACTGTTTTTTTATTGGTGTAATCTTTGCCTTGGTTTCAGATCATTGATAATAAAAAAAATGCAAGCCATTTTCCAGAATTTTTATTGGTCCTTTGCTCTCCTTGCCAAAGTTCCACTTTGCACAGTGGCGGTATCTCCCTGAAGAGAGGTGAGCCCTGGAAGTTATCCTACGTGTCACTGCATCCCAGGCGTCAATCAGACCAGCCGCTACACCAGCAGCACACAGTCTGGGCTGCTTCGTCTCGTCCTCAGGCACTGTTTCCATTCAGCTATAAAAACCTGAAAACTGACTCCTTAAAACATATTTGCGCAGGTTATCTGAAGCGGCAGGAAGATTGTTTTCATGGTTGTGCACATCTGGGCCTGGGTGAGTGACATTTGAGTAACTGAACCTTGGCGCGTCTTTCCATTTTGGTGGGGAGCTGCTTGGGCACTGAGAGACAGGGCATTGGTGCCCTTACCAACCAACCTGCAGCAAAACCAGACAGAAGTGTAGCTGTCTGCAGGATAGCTGTGTATTCAGTGTTTGTCTTCCTGTAACTAGGAGCAAGTCTCTCTATGGAGGGGTCTCCAAGTCCAGTCCTGGGGAGCCCCTACCCTGGGGAGCCCCTACCCTGGGGAGCCCCTACCCTGCACATTTTAGGTTTTCCCCTCATTTAACGCACCTGATTCAAGTTCTCTGTTAATTATCACTCATTTCTTGAGTTGAATCAGGTGTGGTGGAACAGGGAGGGAGCTAAGCTGAGCTCCTCAGGAGTGGAGCTTGGAGACCCCTGCTCTCGGCCATCACCTGACAAGAGCTTATCTTACATGTTCAGTAGGGATCTGTCAGTCAAGAAGGTTAGTGTGAACTTGGCACCTCAATTATAGGCAAAACACTTTCGAATGTGAGCCTGAGGCTGGGGGGAGGGGGTGTCTATGTTAATTGTGCTGTCTCCCCCATTTTGTGTCATTCAACATCATGCTCACCCAACTCTATGACTCCCATGGACCCGCAAAGCGGAAATCTCAGAACTGAAACCCGAGTCCCAGATGCCCCACATGTGACCTGATCCTGTAGCTGCGTAGAGATAGTTACAGCGTAACGATAATTGAAACATTCTGTAGTGGATGTCACCAAACACATCCCTCTCGTCACTGAGGATGCACCTTGGTGACAAGGAAAATTAGGCTTCATTTGTATCAGCTTCACCTGTGTGGAGCATCGACTGTTGCTCTTGTATAGCGTCGGTGAAACAGTTGTATCTGTAGCCTTTAATTTGATGTCTTAGGCCTTATTGAATCTCTTGAAGCATTTAACACATTTTCATAAGAGTTTAGCAGGACGACGTGTGTGGAAATGCACAGTAATCCACAGGAGAAAAAGACACTTATTGCAGATCCATGACCTCCGGGTTGGTCTAAGACGCCTCTCAGCGAAACAAGGGGCTGTGTGCATGAAGCCAGCAGGCTAAAGTTCAGACCTTATTACCTACTCAAAGCAATAGAGCAATTCTGTATTAAACTGAAAGCGCCTTCAACTTTTGTCACGTCTTTCGTCACGCCTGTGGGTCCTTGAGCGAGGCCCTTAACCCCCAGCTCCCTGGCTGCTGCTATGGGTGGCTGCCCTTCATGGCCAGCTAGATCTCACTTACAGAGAGCAAGTTGGGGGAGGCGTAAAGAGAATTTCCCCACATGGTTCGATAAAGCATCTATTATTATTATTATTATTATTATTAGTAGTAGTAGTAGTAGTAGTATTATTATCTCTCCAGATGCTCAGGCTTTCCATTGGGCTTTTCAGTGGTCTTTGTAGGGAGATCTCTGTCTGTAGCTAAGCCAGGGTACATATAGTGCCGCTTGCAAAGGGGACATTGTGCCTCCGTCAGCAGCAGCACTGGCACGGCTGCGTGTTCAGGGTGTCCTCGCCCGACTGCTGCCCATCGCTGGCTTTGGGGTCTCTGCTTTCTAATACAACTCATTCCGGAGTATTAGTTGCTGATGATACTTTGCAATGCTTGATGATCTAGCGACTAACAGAGTATAACTGAACAATAAAATTAACCTTATCTGCCATTTGTAGAAGTACAGGTGAATTGGAATGCTTTCGTTTCCGCATATCCCATCTCGCTCTTCCTTAAGGCAGACACACATATACAGGTGACAGCAAAGCTTGGGGTCTGAGCACAGGGTCAACCGTTTCTCTTCAGCGAGTTAACCGTTTCTCTTCAGCCATCCATGGGATTCAAACTAGCAACCTTCTGATCACAGGCAAAGATTCCTGACCTGCTGTATGGGGCTCAAACCCATAATGCCTGGTTTAAGAGGCTAGAGCCTAATTCATTAGGCCAGTGTTTTTCAACCCGGCCCTTTTGGGCCTCCAGAGGGTCCATTTTTTTGCTCCCTGCCAGAGAGTACACATTGTTGCACTGGGAGGAAGCAAAAACATGGACCCTCTGGAGGCCCAAAAGGGCCGGGTTGAAAAACACTGGCCCTCACACATACAGAGCATGAATCGAGGACCTCACACATACTGTACAGAGCATGAATCGAGGACCTCACACATACAGAGCATGAATCGAGGACCTCACGCATACAGAGCATGAATCCAGGACCTCACACATACAGAGCATGAATCGAGGACCTCACGCATACAGAGCATGAATCGAGGACCTCACACATACAGAGCATGAATCCAGGACCTCACACATATGAATGTAATTGTGTATGAGGCTGGCTTACCCTTAGGACAATGTGGCTTAAAAGTCCACAGGTTCCCATTCAACCAGTTTTATGCAATTTACAGTCATATAACCAGATGGGTGGGTATTTCTACAACCAGTTATCAATACTAAGTACAGTTATGAATAATCCTATCTATGTTTAACTATTGTTTGATTTTTTAGGTAACTTAAGATAAATGAAGAGATTTTTGTAGACTGAGATTCTCTGTTTTGCTGTAATCAGACAAAACACCCTCCGGTTAAAAAACCTTTCAAGCAAGGAATTTTTAATCTTCCCGGAAGCTTCAGGTTCTGTTTTCTGCTATTGATCGTGCTTTGTTATATTCAGTAGCCGAACTCGCTTAAGTGAACATTAAGGTTAGATTAAATGTAAGTTACACATAACCAGCACATGCACGAAGCTATTTCAAAAACCTTTGCGTATGACTGTTCGCAAACAATGCAATACTTACAATACAAAGAATGGAAACACGAAAATGTAAAACACGGCTAAATAACAATACCAAGAAATAACAAATAAAAATTAAACTAAGTTAAAATGGGCATATGGAAATATAAACAATGGCAATTCAAGATAAGAAAGTGAGATAAGAAAAACTGTATAAACACGTTGTTGTCCACGGTAAACCAGTTGCATTGCATTTCTTAAAAAATACACATTTCCGTCTCGCATCAATATATGTGCTATTTAATATTAAAATTTCATAAATCTACATTGATAATGAACTAGTTTAATGAAAGAACAGTCCCAGCACGCCCATTAGAGTAATCCGTCAATGAGCGCTGTGAAGCCATCATGATAATGACAGACAGACCCGCCTCAGCGCCTTTCTTAGGACAGTGAAACGAGCGCCGCGGTGTGGAACACTCCTCGCTTTTTACCCTTTTCCCTTCCACGGTGTTTTAAGCCATCCGAAACCAACAGGTGGCCATTTCCCTATTCACTTATTTTCAATAGTTATAATTATTTTTTGGATGCTCGCAAGGGATGAGTGCGATCTTAATGCAACGCTTTCCAGTTTTACTCAGTGTCTCCGCATCGCTGCTTATTTATACGTGCGCGATGTCAGACCCGCAAGGTAAGGAGTAATTATTAGACTGAAATATTTAATTTCATTTTATAGTGCATGCACCTCCACGTTACGAGCAGAAAGTCTTCGCAAAATTGTATTTTCGTTCATGTGACTTGGTAGTTGAGGATCGTACTGTTTGCAGAGTTAAATGGTTATGTCATGAAAAAGTTTTTAGGAGAAACTGAAAAGACCTCCATTCCTCAAACGAACCGGTGATTATTATAACCTATTGCACGCTGTATTATAATTAAAACCTATTACACATGACAATCACTAACCCATACTCTTTCACTAGGCTATTTATATGTTTATGCATTTTAACTGTACTTTTTTAGTTAGTATATATAAATCAATGAATCAATTAAATCTGTTTTATTCGCTGCATGCAAAACCCAGGGAATCGATCTCCTGATTTCCCACGTGCGCGGCTTTGAGAACCAATTTTAATGTAATTTATGCTACATTATACGGCACACTTAAAGAAAGGCTCCTTAAGGTTAGGCGAACAAAAGTTGCTCAGTGTGACGCGGCTAATCTGATGCACAGAGACGAGGCAGATCAAAAAGACCGACCGCTGTGCTGCGCTGAACCCCGAGAGTCCCTGTAGAAAACGGAGGAAGGGGATCTGGCCATGCTGACTAGTCAGAAAGGAAATATAGCCGACAGAACGTAGAAGCTGGCAGATACGGTGAAAATACTGATCAAAACCCATCTAGCTTTTTTGCTCACCTTTTAATTCAGACTTGCATATCTGGCCTGTAGTTTAAGTTCTGGCTTTTTATTGAGATGTAATTCATTTGGAGTAACGGCATTCCCATTTTTTGGGATACGTCTAGTAAAAACCGTGCCCACAGACTGCATAAATATCTCCAGATGGTGCCTGAATGTCTGTCTTCTAGGAGGGACACAGTCGAGGAAACTTTGGATTGTTTTCTGGATGGCTTTACATCGCATGCATGTTATTTGCTGTGAAAAAAATGTAAGAAATGTATAAATGCACGGGCACATTTCCCCAAAGATTAAGACAAAATACCACGGAATAACTTGTCCAAATGGTTCCTCTGACAAGTTTGGTGAAGCTACAGACTTTGCAGACACTCCCTATTGGCTTTTGCCAAAACATGACCATAACACCCAGGGTTTGGTTCATGGGCAGAATCAACGCTCCTCAGGTCCAGAGTGTCAGTTTAAGTTTCCTGCTGATTATTGAACAGAAGATGTTGCCTCAGGGACTAGACTGACCTTATTTTTTTGTGTGTAACTATATACTCCGGTTGATTTGAGCATCTTTAGCTGCATTCCAGCTGATATTTATGGTTGAAGGGCAGCCTTCTCAGACAATGCTTCTGTTACATTTGCTCCGTTGGACTCTCCTGGGTCCCATCGTCTGGTTGGCGTCACTGTGGGGTAGATGGTGTTTCCTGCCTTCTCTGCTCTTCACCTCTGCTTCTCCATGCCTGTGTGCCTGGGACAGAGAGGAGGGGGGAGGAGACGGCCTGGTCATCGCAGACCTGTGCTCCGCAAGGAGCCATTGTTGTGTTACCCACCCACCCCCCACCACATGCCACAGAGCTTTGGGTTTCAGCCACGGGTCAGGAGGTGTAACTGTGAGCAGAGGCAGGGTGAGAACGCAGGAGAGAATAAGATGGCGAGCGGGGGAGAGGGTGATATATGAGGAGGAGTCAGGGAAAGTGCTCAGGCATGGAGCCTAAGCCTCCTGGGCAGATGGGGGTTATGGGGGTAACATTACTAATGGAGACAGGGTGCAATGAGTCATACTCAAGAAATATTGGTTTTGGTTCGGCAGAATAAATCCAAAAACAAAATACAGATTAACCTTTACTTTCACTTCCACCTTTAAGATTTCTGTTCTGTTCTTTTTCAAAACTGATGGAAATGCAGGGTGGTTCTCAATAGGTGAGAACCAGCCCAGCACCAGCTCTGTGTTGGTGGAAACGAGGCCTGAGTTTGTAGCTGCCTGTTCCCCCCTTTCTGCCCGGTGCCACACTGCAAGACTCCCAACATGAGGCGTTTAATTGGGGCAAACTGAACAGCTGTCTCACTGGACTAATTTTCACTGGACCTTTTTGCTGTTTGGTTCAGGAAGTTCTGCTTCACAGTATTAAAACTGCAAAAGAACCGTAAGGAATGTTGGTGTTTTCCCTGACTATGCTCTTTGCTATTTCCAGGGAGTAATTAATAAGGACGGTAAATCATCTTGGCTGCGTGTATATGTCGCAAGGAATAGCTTCTGCCTGTGTAGTTTTGCCAATAAATATGAAAATATGAAAGGTCAAGCATCAGTAACACTATGAGTACAGCAGCAGTAGCTTGGTAGAGTAGGAGTATGAATATAGGAACAGTATTGCTACAGTAGCAGTAGGGGTGTTGATGTAATGACAGTAAGAGTATAGTAGCAGTATGGTAGAATAATAGTATGAGTATGGCCTTAATTGTGATAGGTCTGCAATAACGGGATGACTCTGGCATCAGTATAGATGTCCATGTCCCAGCTACACCATTCACTACTGATGGTTCAAAGAACCTGTTTAAATAAAACAGCATTTTTGGTTTAATCAGTAAAATACTCCACAGAAGTCAGTCCTGGATGTCAGCAGTATATGCGCACATTAGAGTTTGAAGTGAATAACACATTTTATCGTTGCACTACATTTACATACAGATGGAAAGTGAATAACACATTTTATCGTTGCACTACATTTACATACAGATGGAAGCTAGGCTATGCGGAGCGTATCCAAGACCCGGTCTTCAGTACCTGCTCTGTGTACTTGTTCTGGTTTTAAATGAAGTTTTATTTTGTTGAGTTTGAGACAGTCAAAGTAAACCACTCATCGAGCTGTTTATTGAATATTGCACATGTGGCCGTTTTTATTAGCCTTTGTTGGGTGTGAGACGGAGATAAAAAGAAACAATTTTTTGATTCCTCAAATTTGATCCAACAATGTAAAAAAAAATTAATTATTTAAAAGGTTGCTATCTAATGAATGTTGAGACATAAATTGTTACCACTTATAGGTAATATCCATGGTTATAGGCCCAGTCAAATTTCCCAGGTTCCCAGATAAACCAGACGCCTGTAACTGGTCCCCTGCTTGGGACCTCCTAGTCGCCCTTGTGGGGACCTCCTAGTCGCCCTTGTGGGGACCTCCTAGTCGCCCTTGTGGGGACCTCCTAGTCGCCCTTGTGGGGACCTTGCTCTCATCAGCCTGGGGTCGTGGAGCATTATCTGCTAACCTCTGCTCATTACAACAAGGATGAGGGGGTCTTTTCCCTCAAAAACCAAACAACCCCCATGCTTCTCATGGTGTGTTCCTTTTGAACTCGGAAGTCAGAATTTTTGTTTCTAGTCAAATTTTAACTGGAACGCTGCCTGAAGTTCAGAACTGAGAACTGAGAACTCAGAAAATCGGAGGAACCTCAACGATCCCGACCTCAGAATTCAAGATGGCTGCCCCCTTTATCAACAGAAGTGAAAGCTGTAGTTATATGCTGTTTATTAGCACTAATTTATTATTTGTGTCTTTATAATCAGTCATATACACAGTACTGTCCAACTGCTATTTCTGGACATGCTGCCACAGTGCTTTTATGTGCAAAATACTGTGTAATGCGTGGTTATTAACTGATATTGCTAACAATGGCTGACAGTGAACTTGGATAGAACTGATATTGCTAAATTACGGCTTTCTGACTTATTGTACTGGATCACGGTTAACTAGGGTGTGACGTCATTCCCAGCGCCGACCTCTGAGATAAATGGAATGCAGCATTAGACATGTCTGCCCCTTCTCGTCTCTGACCCCCCACCCCCCCCCGCAGTGATTGACCTGCTGACGCTGAGCGATGCCAAGCAGAGTGCCGTGGCAGTGGAGAGGCTGGCAAGCGCCCTGGACACGGTCAGCGACATCTACATCGTGTCCACATTCCGCCTGCCCCCCAAGCTGGGGGGCGTCCTGCTGGGCCTTTACGGCAAACAGGACAACAGGAAGTACCTGGAGTTGGCCGTCATGGGCAAGATCAACAAGGGTGGGCACCTGTAAACCTACACCCCCATCCTCACGCGTGTCTCCATGAACATACAGGCATGCATGTACGCTTATGACGAGATTGATGTAAATGTACTACAGCGGTACCTCAGAACTCGAACTTAATCCGTTCAGAACTCCGGGTCGAATCCTAAAAAGTTCGAGTTCTGATCGAATTTTCCCCATAAGAAATAATGGAAAACCAATTAATTGGTTCCTGGCCCCCCAAAATTACACCTAAATATGTTTTTTTTTAGCATCTAAACACAAAATGAACTGGATAAAACAAGAAGAGCATATACTGTACTAAACACATCTAAGAACATTTAGCAAAATAGTAATTTGTAAAGTAAGAAAATAAATGTATCCAAACAATGTGTAAAGTTTAAAAAAAAAAATGCGTCCTGCCCCGATCGTCCGCTCCTTCCATGTGCCACGCCCCCTCGTTAACCCCGTGTGGAATCCCCGTGTGATCAGCTGTTTCTGGTTGTTGTCATTAGTCCTCTGTATTTAGTACGCGTTTCAGTTTGTGTCATTGTATTGTCCGTCTGCGTTTTGCCTGCCTTACCTGTAATTAAACCCCGTATTCCCCGATACCCTGACGTCTGCGCCTTTGTCTCTGTTCCGTCCCCGCTCGGCACGACAATATTATTATAATTAAATGTATTAATGGTTTATTATTAATATTAAAATAATTAATGAGAAATATTTATTTTAAAATATATTTTATATAATAATAATTACTGTTACTGTCTATCATTGTCGAAATGTATTTTTACTGTCTAAATATATGTATTCAGCTAGTGTAAACATGCACGATGCTATCACAGCGAATGCGAGGCTGAGACTGAAGTGTTACCCCTTGTTTCTGCTGAGAGACGTGCCGCGTGACTCATTTCCCCGCGCGTACAAGTTATCTTAAGTCGGCGTTCACGGTTTGACTTCTGAGATTCAGATCGAGTTCTAGGTAATTTTTTTTTCGAACTGGTTGGTTCGACTTTTAAGAAATTCGAGTTCTAATGAGTTTGAGAACTGAGGTACCACTGTATTTTGCCGTTGAATGCTTGCAGCACAAAGATTTTGTACCCATGCAGCAAACCGATTAGTTCTTATACACTGTGCATGTCTCGTTTTAGCACATTGTCCTCCCACGCATTCTGCGCATGTGTGATTTAAAAAAAATATATATAAACTTAATTGAACCATTGATCTAACATTCGAACAAGACATTTCAAAAGATTTTGATCGCAAGGTTTCTTCGTACATTTTAAAGATGTAAAATAATGGCACAATTCTTTATGAATGATGCGACACACAGGTCGTTTTCAAATATTTGAATTAAGTATTTTCCCAAAATATGTATAATAATAATTAAAATTTCTTCCTCCTGTGACATAAAAGTGAGGTTAACAGCAAGTCAGAAATGTCAGGAAGTGAACTGCTAGCGCTGTTCTCTCTTACATCTGTGTCCGCAGAATTGGGTTTGGCGTGGGTGAGAATATTTATCTTAGTGTGGCATGGGAGTATGTGGCGGTTTGAATGAATGAAGAGTCTCCTTCTTATCTGCATTCTGTCTTTGGACTCTGATATCCTGCTTACTGTGCTTGTGCTTCATTTTGCGTTGTGTTTACAGCGTAAAATCACCCGAAAAGGAAGATAATAATCAGTAATCAGACACAAGTACTGGAGCCGAGCCCCTGCATTCGTCTGGGTTTCTCCGTCCGCCATGGCTGCCCCCTGTTGTCTGACCAGGTCCCCTGACTCTTCTCCTTTCCCCCTCCCAGTGCTGGTGCGCTACACGCGTGAGGATGGCAAGCTGCACACGGTCAACCTGCAGGGCACCAACCTGGCCGATGGCCGCAGCCACTCCGCCATCCTGCACATCGGCGGCCTCCGGCGGGACAACCTCCAGCTGCAGCTGTACGTCAACTGCAGGCTGGCCGACTCCAGCCACGGACACCCCCTGCCAGTGCCTCTGCCCCCCAATGGAGAAGCCGTGGACATCCGCAATGGCCACAAAGCTTACGCAAGATTACAGGTGACGCGCTGGGGAGGCCAGGGGCGGCTGGGCTGTGCTGTGTTTGCCAGAGCAGGTGTCATGTGTCTCCATACTTCGCCTTCTCATATCATACATGCCAATAAAGGCACAGTTACTGGGCGCAGTGGTCATATGACTTCTGCAGCCCTCAAAATGAGCTCCTATTGGCCAAAATCAGTTTGACAGCTATAGACAGTTTTCCTTTTCACACCAGGTGCTGCATACAGTTTAAACTAACTTACTTGCCTCCCCAAGCCCCTGTGATCCCAGCAGGCCCCAGTGGACAGTAGCGCTGGACTTAGGGGTGCTAAAGGTTGCATCAGCACCCCCTCTGGTGGTTGGCGGTAATGCAGTTTTAAGGGCCCATGCTTATACCTCGTCAAAAAATACAGATGCCACTGCCCAACACAAGTGATTTTCCATCCATCCATTATCAGAATCACTTATTCCCCGCTGGGGTCGTGGAGCCTATCCTGGGAACCAACACACTACAGGGCCAATCTAGACACGGAGTCCCCGGCAAAAACCCACACGAACATGAGGCGAGCGTGCAAACTCCACACAGAAAGGACCTGGGATTGAACCCAGGACCTTTTAGCTGTAAGGCAGCAGTGCTAACCACTGCACCACCATATCTCCCTCACAAATAGTCTTGTAATTTCAAAACATGAAAGTTTGCAGTCGTTAGCGCTTGTAGGTGTCAACAGCTCTCAGGTTCTAAGCACGGTGCCATGTTTGCTGTCATGGGTTCCCTTGGCAATCAGTATTTCATTATGCAGTTCATGTTGCCGATGCAGTGAATGTTTTCATGCTTGTTATTTTGTTGTTAGCTGTTAATACTGATGATACAAAAGAACATTGCTAAAGTCTACTGGTCATTCTGACATTTCGCATTTAGCAGATCTGGCTACCTCTGTCTCAGCCTGCCCCTGTCACTCAGTCTGCTGCTGTCCATAATGACTCAGAGCGGCCAGCGGAGCACAGAGCGGCCGCTGGGAGCACATGGTCTATCCAACATCCCACCTCAGCCCTTTGCTCACCTTTTACTGCCAATCGGCAGACAGTGACAGGGTCCTGCGTGACCTGCGTCGGTCTGACGTTATCCAGCTGTGATGCGTGTCTTTGTGTGGCTTCATTAAGGGATCCGTGGAGTCTCTGAAAATGGCTCTGGGGGGCTCACTGGCCAAAGCGGGCATTCTGATGGACTGCCCTTTCCAAGGTGACTCATCGCAGCACATCTCGGGTGAGTGAGTCACACACGCAGAGATGCACTCCTGCCCCCGACCGCCGGAGACTCGGGTTAAACCGGAGCTCATCGCGGCCGCTGAGGAGTCTGTCATTCTCACAGTACGGCTGCCACAGTTAAACAACCAAAATGAACCAGGTGGATTGCGGACACAAATGAAATATTGTTACCAGATTTGTAAATTAAGTATTTTTTCTCAAGTTTACCCGAGCTATTACATCTCTCTCTCTCTCTCTCTCTCTCTCTCTCTCTCTATATATATATATATATATATATATATATATATATATATATATATATAGTGATGTTTAATAATAAATAATAACTTCATGCCTTTGGAAAGAGGTCTTTAAACTTATCTATGAGTCAGACTCCTTTAAATGAAAAAAACAATATAAAAATGGAGGACGTTTACACCATCTAGTGGTGATAATATGCATTACATGGTGATACTCATTTTAAAAACTGAGCGACACATTTAAAAATGTGTAGGTGATGTGATTGCCACTTGTAATGCTGACTGCCTTACATTAGCCCCCCGTGCCATAACATTTCACATTAGCTCTGCCAAATTTGCATTTCGCTGTATGTGCATATGCAGTGAGCAGCTGAGTTAGTACAGCGTCACACTTCACAAGCAGTGATGAATAAAGCATTATGTAGGCAGGCTTCTTGGTACACGAGTGTACCAGCATGCTGATGACCTCTATACTGTTCGCCCTGCAGGGGGCAGCGAGCTGAACTCCATCCTGGGTGAGTATGAGCTGCCTGACTTTTCTCGCACCACCCACTGTCTGTACTGCAGAGGGAGGGCAGGTCACACAGTCCTCTGTCTGCCTTTGCCTTTCTTTCCGTACCTTGATCTACCTCGCATTGTCAGCTTGCTTGACTTTGAAAAGCTGTAGAAATAAGCTGGCTAACTGATTGATTGATAGCTCACTGCGGACTGCCTGCCCTGATGGATACAGAATACACTTTTAGCTTACTTTTCTGTTTTCCTCTGGTGTGGGATATCTGCTGATGTTACACTGGGTGCCTTTCATCTGAGTGCGGTTTAGGTGACCACACCAAGGCTCTGATAGGCCAGCTGATCATCTTTAACCAGATCCTTGGCGAGCTGAGGCAGGATATCAGAGAACAGGTGAGACTTGGCTCTGGGGTTAGCGGTGTGTGGTTAGCCTTCTGGGTTAGCCAGGAGCGGTTTAGGTATGTGATGTTAACTTTGTGGGGCTTTGGGTGTCAGGGTTACCTTGGTGTGGATATTAGCCTTCTGGGTTAGCAGTGTTAGGTCAGTGTGCAGGTGAGTCTAAGGGCCCGGCGGTCCTGACCTGCTCTGTGTCCTCCGCAGGTGAAGGAGATGTCGCTCATCAGAAACACTATCCTGGAGTGCCAAGTGTGCGGTGAGTGCAGGAGTCACACCAGGGCCCACCTGGGCTCTCTAGCCGCTGCTCTCTTGGCATCAGAGGGCCACAGCAGGATACCGAGAGGGCCCACCGTGGCCCCCAGCATGCCGCACTCTGCTCTCATGTGCTCCCCCTCCTTCCAGGCTTCCACGAGCCCCACTCTCGCTGCCTGCCCAGCCCCTGCTACCAGGGCGTGTCCTGCATGGAGACGCTGGACTACCCAGGGTACCGCTGCGGGCCCTGCCCTGAGGGCATGATGGGTAATGGCACACACTGCCAGGACGCGGACGAGGTATGACAGCAGTGGGCTTGGATTAGTTGCCTCCTCTCCATACCACTCCCCTAACCCCTTCCTTTACCCCCCCCCCCTCTTTGGCCCCTTCCCCCCCCCCCCCCATTTACCCGGGCCTGTCCCCCTCCCCTGTCACACAGTGCTCCCTGGTGCAGCCCTGCTTCTCCGCAGCAGCCTGTGTGAACTCAGCCCCAGGCTTCTCCTGTCAGCCCTGCCCGCCCGGGTTCACGGGCCCCCCCGTCACTGGAGTGGGGCTGGAGTTCGCCAAGATCCACAAGCAGGTTAGGCCCCTCCCCGCTGTACTGGGATCCCCATTTCAGCCCCCACTTGGGGGGGGGGGGGGGGCATGAGCAGCCAGGTGGTCCAGCAGCTTTTTTCTCCTAAAACGGTTTTCCTCTATTGTCATTTTCCCTCCTCTATTGTGTTTTTCTTAAACATGTATTACTGTATAACATGAACATGCTGTTTTTTTTAATTCTTTCTGAATTGTTTTGGGAATTTTGTTTAGAAGGGGTAGGAGATTACAGCACCTGTCATTTACACTGTCTGACCTCAGCACATGACATCATCACACGACTTCATCACGTGACCTCACCACGTGACTTCCCCTGGTCTCTGCAGGAGTGCTCAGACGTTGACGAGTGTGTGAATGGCAGCGGCGCATGTGTGCCCAACTCCATATGCATTAACACTGTGGTGAGTCCCAGTACGAGGCAGCTCGTCCAAACCAGCCCAAGACACCTCGGTTCCACTTCACTTTAATGAACTGGATCTGATGCACAGTTGATGCAGTGCAGCCATTCAGCACTGTAAGAAAACCCCTCACTACCCCCCCCCCCCCCCCTCTCTCTTTCCTAGGGATCCTATAAGTGTGGCCCCTGCAAGGCAGGCTTTGCGGGTAACCAATTAACAGGCTGCTTCCCCCAGAGGTCCTGCTCCACACTCGGCTATGACCCCTGTGATGTCAATGCACACTGCCTCATTGAGCGCAGTGGGGAGGTGTCCTGCGTGGTGAGCACATTCCTCCAGCTGCAGGACCAATCACATTCCACGTCTGAGTGTAGTACATGACAGTGGCCAGTCGCGATTGCTCTCCTCTTGATGCTTTGGGCCAATTCTCCTCTTTGATTCCCGTTCCAGTGCAATGTAGGCTGGGCAGGAAACGGGAACACCTGTGGGCCTGACACAGACCTGGATGGCTACCCAGACGAGTCTCTGCCCTGCATAGACAATGACAAGCACTGCAAGCCGGTGGGTGACCTCATGGCTCGCTGTCGAACCCAGACCTTCACTGGAGTGCTGCCGTCTTTAATACATGTGAGCTCCCTGTTTGCCAGAGCTGTCCTCAAAGGCTGCTTGTCCCTCCCCCATGCAGGACAACTGCCCTCAGACGCCAAACTCAGGCCAGGAGGACACAGACAGCGACGGGGTCGGTGACCAGTGTGACGAGGATGCTGATGGAGACGGCATAAAGAATGTGGAGGTGTGTCTCTGAAGGGGTCTTTCTTAAGGTTTTTTCTCCTCCTCTGTTTTTGGGCTTTATCTGCTTGCCCGGTGTGCTGTGTGTGTCTATATATATATATGTACAGTATATAATTTATTTCGCATCTATTTAGCTGATCTATTTAGCTATTTAGCTTATAACTGCAGAAGCTGAGCCAGCCTCCAAGTAGTCGGGGTTAAGGGCTGGGCGGTGATGTCACTGTCTCAGGAACAAGTGCTTCCTTTAAAAATGAATGTTGATGCTTATTTGTATGAAAGTCGCTGTGATCATGTGCTTTTGTTCTAATGTGATCCAAAATCCTTTTGTCGCACCCCTTTTTATGCAAATAATATATACAGTTTTATGTAAAACTGTATATACTCTGCCTGTTTTCCGTGGAACACCAGCATGATCCAGGCTGACCACGCCCTCAATCCCGTGACATCAGCCCTCAGCCCTGTTTGTTTTCCAGGACAACTGCCGGCTGACGCCCAACAAGGACCAGCAGAACTCGGACACCGACTCATTCGGTGACGCTTGTGACAACTGCCCCAATGTTGCTAACGGCGACCAGAAGGACACCGATGGCAATGGGGAAGGAGACATGTGTGACAACGACATCGACGGGGACGGTAAAGCGCATCGGCTGGAACCCCCCCCCTCCCCAGGGGAGTGCGGGGGGGCCGCTCATGACGCTGAGGCCCCTCTGTGCAGGAATCCCCAACGTGCTGGACAACTGCCCCCGTGTACCCAACCCCATGCAGACGGACCGGGATAGTGACGGCGTGGGCGATGCCTGCGACAGCTGCCCTGAGGCCAGCAACCCCACGCAGGTCAGAGGTGGGGGGCAGGAGGGCGGGCAGGGCAGTGTGCCAGAGCGTCAGCGTACCGCTGCAGTTAAGGAGAATTCTGGGAAACACCTGGCATAAGCAAAGAAAACACAGCGCAGACACAGAGTGGAAACACAGCGCAAACACAGAGTGGAAACACAGAGCAAACACAGTAAAAGCAGAGCAAATAGACTAAAAACAGAGCAAACACGAAGTGAAAACAGAGCAATCACAGAGAAAAAAGAGCAAATTGACTAAAAACAGAGCAAACATGGAGCAAACACAGAGTGGAAACACAGAGCAAACACAGTAAAAGCAGAGCAAATAGACTAAAAACAGAGCAAACACAGTGAAAACAGAGCAAATAGACTAAAAACAGAGCAAACACAGTAAAAGCAGAGCAAATAGACTAAAAACAGAGCAAACACGAAGTGAAAACAGAGCAATCACAGAGAAAAAAGAGGAAATTGACTAAAAACAGCAAACATGGAGCAAACACAGAGTAAACAAAAGGTAAAGAAAGGGAAAATACAATGTGTCCTTGTGTACACAGGCAACACAGGCTAATCACAGAGTATAAGCAGAGTAAACAGAAAGTAAACAGGATAAATACATAGGAATCATGGGCAGTTATCAGGTAAAACAAAGGCTAATTACACCTATGTAAACAGTATGGACACAGAGTTAATACCAGATAAACACATATTAAACGCTGAATAAACACAAAGTCAACAATAAATAACATGGTAAATTCACAGTAAACTCAAGGTTATCATACTGGCAGCTCATACTGTCTCCACCCCCCCAGACGGACATCGACAACGACTTGGTGGGAGATGTGTGCGACACAAACCTGGACTAGTGAGTCTGAGCTGCTGCTGGTGCTGCCCCCTGCTGGTGGCACACACACACACACACACACACACACACGCACACACACACGCGCACACACACACACGCACACACACACACACACACACACACACATGCACACACACACACATAATGAATTGAATGAATATGTCTTTAATGACTGCAGTGGGATCATGTCATTTCCAGGTGTGTGTACAGTCCCCTCAATTAACAGGTCTATGTTCTGCTGGAGCTAACAAGGCTTAATTGCATATAATTTAGCTGAATTAGAAAATTACCAGTTACCACTTATGCTACTTATTCCAAAGAATGCCGGCTTCATGCATAAGGGCCGCATATTCCTCAGGAACAGGCATACGTTTCCTTTCATTCTGCCTCTGCTGTGGCACAGACCGTTATTAAAGGGATAAAAACCAGTAATGCTCTAACCCATTTACTGCAAAGAAACCCGCCATCTATTGCCAGTAATTACAATTGTAGCAGAAAACAATGAACATTATAAATGTTTGAATACCTATAAGACCAAATGACCAGGGCTATACACCAACTCTCTGTTCAAAGTTGTCACGCTGTTCCCTCCAGCGATGGCGACGGGCTCCAGAACTCACGTGACAACTGTCCTGAGGTGCCGAACAGCTCTCAGCTGGACTCCGACAACGACGGCATCGGGGACGAATGTGATGAGGACGATGACAATGACGGGATCCCCGACTACGGCGGCCCCGGGCCAGATAACTGCCGCCTGATCCCCAACCCCAACCAGAAGGACTCTGACGGTTAGCCCCCGACTCGGCCTTGGCATGAGCTGTAAAACTCACCCCCTTCCACCTTTCGGTCTTCTGTGCAGTGATCCAGACCACAGTAGCTGCCCATGTTAGACTTCAGGTTAGGATCAAGCATCGGAAGGTCTTGAAACGAAGGACTAAAATTTGCGAGTAGCTATTTGCGATGCGTTTGAACGTCCTCTGAAATCCCTGCACTGTGAGAGTTTTAGTCTGTTCCATTGTCAGACACACGCACGCACGCACTGTCCTGCATCCTTCTCAGGTGATGGTGTTGGGGACGTGTGTGAGGAGGACTTTGACAATGACATGGTGCTGGACGTGGTCGACGTGTGTCCCGAGAGCGCTGAGGTCACGGTGACCGATTTCAGGTCCTACCAGACAGTGATCTTGGACCCCGAGGGTGACGCGCAGATCGACCCCAGCTGGGTGGTTCTTAACCAGGTGATGTTCTCCGCTCCGGGGCAGTTTGCTTTGAACCCTCAGCTGAGCGCTGGCCTTCCTTTCATTAAAACCTACTTTATACCTCCTAAGAAAAGGTTCTCTTTGATCCTGTAATATAATGGACATACAAATGAATTGTTTCTTGCTAAGATGTATTGCATTGTACCACAGGGCATGGAGATTGTCCAGACCATGAATAGTGATCCTGGCTTGGCCGTGGGTAAGCACGATTTCCCACCCCCAGTTTTTATCCCTACACAGGCTTTTCCTCTCTCTCCTCCCTTCCCAATTTGTCCCTCGTTTCCCCTTACAAGGCTACACGGCCTTCAACGGAGTTGACTTCGAGGGCACCTTCCACATCAACACGGTGACAGACGACGACTACGTGGGCTTCATCTTCGGCTACCAGGACTCATCCAGCTTCTACGTGGTCATGTGGAAGCAGACAGAGCAGGCCTACTGGCAGCTGCTGCCCTTCCGCGCCATGGCGGAACCCGGCCTGCAGCTCAAGGTACCCAACCTGCTCAATTAAGGCTAAAAGTACCGGGCTGATGAGGCTGCCCCTGGCTCTCTCTATGCTTCCCGTCTGGATGAATCCGCCCGCTGTCATCAGCTGGCCTTTCCCTGTTTCTGTGATCAAGCTGACCATGCAGTGCCCACTGATCCACAAAGTGGCAGGGCGCTGAGCCGGAATGGCTGCCGGGCTTGTTTCCACAGGCAGTGAAGTCCCGCACCGGGCCGGGCGAGTTCCTGCGAAATGCCCTGTGGCATACGGGCAACACCAATGGCGAGGTGAAGCTGCTTTGGAAGGACCCCCGCAACGTGGGCTGGAGGGACAAAACCTCTTACCGTTGGCAGCTGAACCACCGGCCCCAGGTCGGCTACATCAGGTGACCCCTCCCTCCGCTCCCTGTGCTCCGCCCATGCCGTGCCTCTGAAATCTACATCCACCCCATTCTCGGTGCTGATGATGCCTGCTACCTGTGTCTCACATTGACTAAGGATGTCAAAATACTGTTGAGTGTGGTAAATCTGTACATTCCTCAGGGTCAGAATTACTTTCTTTATTTACCAGTTTATTATATGCAGGATTAGCCATACTCTAATTTATAATTTAGCAGGGAAAACCAAATTTATTTCTTCTCTCCATGCATCTCCTGCTGAGGATCATGGTGGCCGCATACTGAGAAGGTCTCACCAAGCCTCTCTCTCCAAGGCCACCGTCTCCAGCTCACTCAGGATTTCCCCAGATGTTTTCAAGCCAGCAGGGAGAAAGAATCCCTCCAACATGTTCTGGTTGTTCCCCAGGGGTTCCGTCCAGTGGGACACGCCCAGAACAGCTACCTTGGGAGCTACCAGGTGGCACCCAAATGCCTCACGTGGTCTTAGAGAGTGTTCCTGGCAGCCCTGTGGAGAAACTTCATTTGTCGCCTGATAGGAGCAATCTTCTCCATAGGTCGTGACCTTAGCCTGGTGACAGGGCTTTTGTGTGTCATCGAAAATTATATTGTCTGGAGTCTGAACTCCTGGTAGTGCACCCCCCCCCCCCCAGAATTAAGGGTACCAACAAGATTCGAGATGCAAGCATGAACGGGGACGGCCTGGACCAGTCAGACCTGGAGTGATTCTATATTTGCTGAAACAGGTGCAGACTTTAGACCTGTTTACACTTGGTCTTAAAATGAGTGTTTGGTGACGCGTCGTCATCCGATGCCTTAAACCACTCGTTTGGCATTTGACCTAATTTTCTTTGCAGTGTCAAGGCCCCGCCCCCCCAGGTTAGCCTGTCCCCGATAGGGACGTTACAATAACTGCGTGGGGCAGTAACACAAGTGGTCAGCCAGACACCTTGGAGACACATAACAAACACATCTGGCTGTCTACTTATTATCTGATCACCCAAGACGCATTTTAAAATCCGGTGTAAACAGGGCCTTCGAATGGACAATTCTGCTCAGCACTGATCATAGAGGTGAACCATTAATTTATTTGTATGGGCTTCTCATTATGAACCCACACCATATGTTGTATGTCTTTGGTCTTTCTCAAAATATTCTCTTGGGTATAAATTGTGCAGCCAGCAACCCAACACTAGAGGACGCTGTAGTTGGTTCACTTGCTGATGTTGTTTTCAGGTGAGAGGATGAGTTATGCTTCGAGAGGAGCCGGTTCCCCCCAGTTCTTCTCCATAGTTTTCTTCCCAAACCTCTAAAAATTGACAAAAGACGCCCCCAACTCCCAGCAGGTCATTGTCCTTGTTGCCATGCCGACGGGATCTTCAGTAGGAATTTGCGTGGCGTCTGTTCATATGCAGATCCAGGGTGGGCTGGCGCAGAGCAGAGGTACAGTGCGGGAGGGTGTGATAGGGAGCTGAGCGGGGGGGCATAGTTTGGGTGGGGGGCCATGGATGAATACCCTCATCTGATGGACCTATGGTATAAAAGGCAGGGAAAGGATTTTAGGAATGATGGAGCATCAAGATGGAGGGAGGAAAAGAATGAAAGAAACATGGTGTCTAACCGCTATTTATTCAGCTACCAGATGCCATGAGGTTCAGCCTGAACTCCCGTTCTCTCTCTCACACACAAGCAAACACAAAGCCAGCAGATGGGGGGGGGCCTTATTTGGCCTCACTGGGCTGGGTCTGCTGCTTTGTGCAGTGGCCGTGCTCTGTCAAAGCCCCACAGAGTGGCTCTGCTTGGCATTCGGCTCAGATCCCAGCATTCCCCCGACGACATGGCAAGACCTGGGAGCTACCCGGCTCTCCATAGTGGTTATTAAGGAACCCCCACCCCCCTCGAAGCACAAGACAGCTGTCCTGTGTAGCTCTGTGACAGACCAGGGGAGGCACGTTCATTTATTCACATATTCATTCATTCAGTTGACGCCTGTCCTTTGACGGGATTCGCTCCTTCTTCTTAATAGACCCTCCCCCTTGATTCTGATTGGATGGCCTGCCTGTCACTGTGCAGGGTGCAGCTGTATGAAGGGATGGCAGTGGTTGCCGATTCGGGCATGGTGATTGACACGACGATGAGGGGTGGCCGGCTGGGGGTCTTCTGCTTCTCCCAGGAAAACATCATCTGGTCCAACCTACGCTACCGCTGCAACGGTAAATCCGTCACTCATGCACACGCAACGCCGTGCGCTCAGCAGCTGGAAAAAGCAAATCTACAGCTGGCCTGTAAGACACGTGTGAAATCCTTCTCTCATGGAGCTCATTCCTGTTTATTTTCCCTCCGCTCAGACACTGTGCCGGACAGCTTTAGCTTGTACCGCACACAAGCCTAGACGGCCTCCTTGTGTGAGGAGTGTGACCGAGGGGGCAACAGCTCTCTGGCGCCGCCCTGGAGGCAATTCCAGCACAACCACCGTCTGGCAGAGTATCTGTGTGTAGATTTGTATAGGAGAAGTGTTTGTGTATGTGTGGTTTGGGTGTTTATCTGTGTAGTATGACTGCTGGTATGGGGTCAGTGTTTTTTTATATGTGTGTGTGTGTATGTAAGGGGATAAT